ATAAACAAAAAAAAAATTACTAGAATACACGAAACTTTTCAACAAATTGACATTTTTATTTTTTCAACTTTTCCTAGTCACGTGCAGTGTTTTAAAACTTGTCGATTTTCAATCTAGATCGAGATGGAAAATGGTCGAAACCAAACCGGATCCAATATGGTATTAGTCCCTTCTAAATCTTTAAAAGGTAAACATATATTTTTATTTTTATTTTATTTCATTTATTTTTTAATATTTTTTAGATCAGTAATTTAGACCGATCCAGCCCTGATTATTATCATCGATCCAACAATCCGATATATGGATTTGTGGGTGAAGAATTCGTCCAATCGGTCTAGGTTTTTAAACATTAGTGAAGTGTATGTTGGTGAGTATTTTAAAATCAAATTAAATAATATAAAAAAATGTTAAACTATTGATCTTTTACGTGTATTTTGATAAATTTTTATAAATAAAACCTAGCTTTTCGTCATTTTACCATAGGTTTTTGAAGCGGGCCTAAATCTTCTTTTGTAATTCCATGGCTTCAACTTTCGGCTTACAACAAGAAAATGACAATAATGCCCTCAATTTGAATTTGAATCAGGACAGTGGGGCCCAGTTTGGCTTTACGATTTTGAAACTGGGAATTGCAGGAGGGACAAGGTCAAACATAGGGGTGTAAAGAAAGAAAACTTCATCTAATTGAAAAATGGCAGCTGAGGGTACATATGTAATTTAAGGAAATGGAAAGGACAGTGGTTCAATTTTGAACGGAGGAGTGCTTTGTCATTTAAGCAATAGGAAGGGAAAACATTCAGTTTGAAATTCAGAGGTTTAATTGCAGATGGGTCCAGTGACAGTCGATGGCCGGACGGGACGCAATTTCCTTTTTGATGGTTTGTTCGGAATTGCCCTCAGACATTGCACAAATATCCGAAATGTATCCCTCATGGGATGAATGTGTTCAAGTGAAATGCTAAAAAATAAATAAATAAATAAAAATAAAAAATAACATAATATATGATTGGAAGTAGGGAGGAAAAAATATGGACGACATGGATATGACCTGAGACCCGAGGGTAGGTTCGGTATAGGTCAAAAAATTGGACCCAACAGGTCGGGTCTGATATCAGGTTTGGTAATATTTTTCCGGTCTGAATATGTAAAATATATTTAAATATAATTAAATACATAGATATTTAATTTTTTTAGTACGGTCTGGTTGGACTCAGACTCGACTCGACCCATTGCCAGCCCGACTTACAATCTCATGAAGTATAACTTTTGATAGAGTAAAGCACAATGACTGACCCTAATTCATGTAGAATAGTTAGGAAAACGTTTCCATGATGACAATGATGATGCTCAGTATGGTTAGAAGATTTGATATGAATTTTTGTACGCATGCTTGTGACATTTGTGGGCAATCAAAATCAAGAAAAATATAGTTTTGTGTAATTTGTACAAATTTTGAAAAAAGTACTATATCGTACATTTCATTTACTGAATGAAAACTTGTTCAGATTTGGGAAAAAAAAAGAAGAAGAGTATGTAACATTTTTTATGAAAATAGCCTACTCAATTGATATGAAGCCTGCAACAGCTCAAATACACTTATTACAATTGTTTATTTTTTGTATCAAATATGTTGCACAAAATTTTAATTCATGAGTATTTCTAGCCATGCATTAAAACCAGAGGTCCTATATTGCAGTATAGACTTATTACCTTGTAATTTTATCTATTTATTTGCCCATCAAATAATATTGAATATATACAATCATCAGCCTGATTTGTTATTAGATGGGGGTTTACAAGGCTTCAATCTTAAGTAATCAAAGTACCTTAGAATCTTGTCACGAGATGGAATTCTAATATTATATTGCTATGCCCGATTATGCCTTTAATTATGAAATTTAAAGCTTAAAACATAGTACAAATTAAGTGTATTTGTAAACACTTGAAATGGTCCAAATAATGCGTTTCAAGGAGGATTAACATTAAAATTTGAATTCATTTTTCTTTTCATATCTATACATCTCATGATCAAGATGATCAATTGCAGAGTTTCATCGATATCATAAATAACTCTTGCGTTGAGCTCTCGAAGTGCACTCTACTTTCACATAATAAAGTTTACTCCTTACACACAAACTTTCTCCTTTGATTAACAAATTGTGTCTCTAAAACGAATTCAAAAATTGAACCAGTAATCCCTTTGAAGAAAACCTTGAGAGGGAGAGAAAAGAGGCAGGCTGCAATGGTGGCTTAAACAATCTGATTATCCACAGTTGGAGACCCGGACCACCCCTATGTATCAGACCAAAATACGCGACAAATATCAAGTTTAATGGAACAAAGAGACTCTTTGTAGGGGTGTTATTTTCACTTATATGATGAGAAAGATATTGCAGTCAAAAGTTAGAACAAATCAAACACATAAATATAACCCATTTATGGCTGCTAATGTTTTGCACGAAACCACATACACATAATTTTCAAATTTTTTGGTATCCAAGAAGCTTCAGAACAACTGCAGTTGCTGGTTTTGAAACACCAGTTCACAACAAGAAAATGGTATTCAATTAATTGAAAATGGACCTAGGCAAAGGTGAGCAGGGTAGGTACAACATGAGGTATTGAGTTCTATTCTCACTGAGTCCTAAGCTAATATTCGAAAAGAAAATGACATTCCATGAATAAGTGATATTTCTGTAAGGGTGTGGTTTGCAGAAGGTTGCAATATTAAATGATCAAAGTAAGTTGCGCCAAGGGTAGCACTTAATTGGTTTCATGACAATCTGCAATGCTATGTCTTAGGCTCAATTCCTATCAAGGGTAGGGGTCCACTCCCCACTCCCCATTGACGCACCCATGCACCACCAAATTTCAGCATAAGATGTAATTTTGGTGTAAAACATTATTAAGATGGTTTGCGAATCCATTTTTATATTTAATTATAAAATTTTAGCCTTCAAAAGTGGTTATAAAATTTTAGACTTCAAAAGTGGTTTGGTGTAAAACATTATTGGGATGGTCTGAGAATCCATTTTCACATTTAATTATAAAATTAGACTTCAAAAGTGGTTCAAATTAAGTAGTTATATAAACATATGAAAATATTGGAAATTAACCGTTTAGATAATGTATTGCAAGATGCAATATTTTTTAGACTCAATTTTTATTTTTATTTTTCTCATATTCATACATCTTGGTGTTGAGATGACTAATCAGATGATTTTCCAACTTCAAAGTAGTATTTTACAATGATTTTTTTTTTTTGACAAACTTGCAATGGAATTTTTAATTACACCTTAATTATACATTTTAAGGTGGTTGATATCATTTTTTCCTTTCTATAAAGGCCAAAGATTCCCATGTTTACTCCCATGGGTAAAGCTCTACTCTGGAGTATTTTTAAGATCCCACAAATTTTGCGGT